TCGATAGATAGATAGATAGATAGATAGATAGATAGATAGATAGATAGATAGATAGATAGATAGATAGATAGATAGATAGATAGATAGATTTTGTATATGTACAGGGTTAGATACAATTAACAATGTAATATGGAATCTTAAAATTAAGAAATCATTCCTTATAGTATCATCAACAGAATAGATTTTTTTCAGCTACATTCATGTCAATCTATATATAGCTCATAGAAATTCTTATGTATAGATGTAGTTAAGTAGGGCATATTAGAGATTGAATCAGAATATCTACATTATTACTAAATAAAGCCCTGAATTGAAAAAGTAATGATCCTAATTTCATAAGATATATATGGAAGTCTTTCCTTAATGTATTTTTGTGTATGTATTGTACTTCTAAATTAATAAACATACCAAAAATATGCATGTCCTTCACTTTCTTATACATTTTAAAAGGTTATAGCCATTTATATTTTTTCACATTTCTGAATTGTTAATTCTTCTTACTTCTAGAATCCTTCAGGTCTTATTTTGTTTACAGATATTATTTGTGTTGCTTGTTAATCTTTTAGAGTCTCTGTCACTTCATCTCTTGGATGTGCTACCTTGCCCAGTGAGTGGTTAGTGACAGTCATTAACACGAGAATTTTTTTTTTTTTTTTAAAGAACACTTTCTAACATTGATTCATATAGTGGTGGAAGAATATTCTATGGTTTCAGGGGAAAGGAGGTATTGACAGTACTCCTGAAGTGTTTTACATAAACCTTTTCATATATTGTTCTATGCCGTCCTCTTATAAAAGAATACCCTCTATAGTGACAATATTATTAATAGGACTACATGGTATTTCCTAATTAAATTTGAGTAGAAAATAGCCTTTTATTGTCGTTATTTTTTTTATTATTGAGGTGACATTAGTTTACAACATTGTATGGATTCAGAGGCATAGGATCACACCTCTTCAGATACCTGTTACTACATCACACCACTAAGGTAACATCGTCCTCTATCATATCTATGTCCCTTCCCTGAGTTGTACCTCCCTTCCCCCCTCCACCCCTATCTTATAGCCTCAATTTCAGGTATATTTCTAAGGTGTGTTACCAGTTTCTCTGTTATTTTGTTTCTCTATATTCCACACATATGTAATACCATCCAGTACTTTTCTCTTTCTGACATTTCACTTAGCATTAATCACTCCAGGTTCCATCCATGTAGTCATAACTGTCAAGAGTTAATCTTTTTTTTTTTTTATCTATAGCTTGAAAACATTCCACTGTGTGTATATACTATACCTTCCTAATCTTCCACTGTCCTTTGGCACTTAGGTTGTTTCCATATCTTGGCAATTATAAATAGTACTACAGTAAACATAGGAGTGCATGTATTCCTTTGAATAAGTGTTTCTAGATTCTTCAGTTTAATACCATATGATATCTACCTATCATACTGTAGATCTATTTTTAATAGTTTGAGAAGCATCCATACTTTTATTTAAGAGTTAACTTTTTCTCCACGTCTTCTACATTTGTTTCTAGGCTCTTAGATATATGGGCTATTTCCACAAGTGTGAGTTGGTATCTTTGTGATTTTGAGTACATTTCCCTGATAAGTGATGGTGAACATCTTTTCATGTCCCTGTTTGTCATCTGTATATGCTTTTTGTGAAAGTATCTATTTAACTCTTCTGCCCACTTTTTCTCCATCGGGATATCATATTTATAGAAACCACACCATTTGATGACTTTTCATTTTCTGTATTCAGCGAACTTTGACCTAATGTAAAGTATTCCCTATAGAGTATTATATTTATCTTAGTTTTCATCAATAAATTTCAATTTATCATTTACCCATATAAAGCTATCTTTAAACTTCTATATATATTTGACTGTGCACTTGCCAACTTTAGAACTGACATAATAGTGCTTACTATTAATTAAAATTTAAAAGTTTCCTGGGGAGATAGATATTGTGTAATTGTGTAATTGTGTTTAACAGTGCATTAAATAAAGATATTGAAGTGTATAACTATGTAACTATACTTCTTAATATATTAATCTTCTGATATCGCAATGTATTATTACTGATGAACAGAAAAAGCTAAGACTTACTAAGTTTGCTATCTTGCTTAATTTAAATAATCCCCCCCCCCAAACTCTTTGTCTACATCATTAATTTTCATCTTTGGCTATAAGAACAATAATTATAAGAACTAACATTTGTATAATATTTTTTAATTTATGTAGTACTTCTTGAACAAGCATGATATACAGGATTTGGTTTTAATAAAAGAATGTTAGCAGATACTTGTTAATTTTTCTATAAAGCTAAGATATGGTAGATAGAGTACTGGTTTGTAGTCTTGGTTTTCACAGTGACTATCTGTGGAACCTTACATCAGTCACTTCCCCTCTTTGATATTATCAATTCCAACTATCAAAGAGACAGCTATCACAGTCATCTCAAAGGACTTTTTTTTTAACATTAGTTTTCTGTTACTCTATGTTTACAATAAAATATATCACGTTTTCATTGTAAGCCTTTAAAGTTTAATTATTTTATTCCTTGATTAAGGCCAAATTCTTAAGGACCTATATCTATGCAAATAAGTCTTTTGTAGTTGTTGAAAATGTCTTTCTTAGGTAAAAGACAAAGAAAATCATAAAACACTGTTAAAAGAAATACAAGAAGATATAAAGAAGTGGAAAGATACCCCTGCTCATGGATTGGAAGAATTAACATTAAAATTGCCATCCTACTAAAAGTGATTTACAGATTTAACACTATTCCAATAAAAACCTCAATGACTTTCTTCAAAGAAATAGAACAAATATTGATGAGATTTATATCAAATCAAAAAACCTCAAATAGCCAAAACTCTCCTGACTAAAACAAAAGAGAACAGATGTATCACACTCCCAGCCTTCAAACTATACTACAAGGCGATAATAATCAAAACTGCATGGTACTAAAGCAAGAACAGACAGACAAATGGATTGAATAGAAAATCCAGATATAAACCCACAGTTTTATGGACAGCAAATTTTTGACAAAGGAGCAAAGAATAAGCAATGGAACAAAGAAAATTTTTTCAACAAATAATGCTAGGAAAACTGGGAAGCTACATGAAAAAAAAAAAAAATGAAACTAGGTCATTACTTTGTACCATGCACAAAAACCAACTCAAAGTGGATTAAAGGCCTAGACATAAGAACGGAAACCATAAAATATATAGAAGAAAATAATGGTGAAAACTACATGACATACACCTCATAACATCTTTAAAGATACATTGCCCAAAGTAAGGATAGTAGAAAAAAAGACTCAAATTAAAGACCTTCTATACAGCAAAAGGAGCTACATAAAACAAAGAGACACCCAATAATTGGAAGATTTTTGCACACAATGTAATGATAAAGGACTGATCACAGAGATATATAAAGAGCTGACAAAACTCAACAAAAATAAAGTGTTGAGCAACCCCATCAAAAAATGGGCAGAAGAGCTAAAAGGACTCTTCTCCAAAGAGAAAATTCAAATGGCCAGCAGGTATATTAAAAATTAAAAATATGTTCAATATCACTTGTAATAAGGGAAATGCAAATCAAAGCCAGAATGAGATACTACCTCACACCAGTGAGAATGACACATATTAAAAAAACTAGTGACAACAAATGTTGATGAGATTGTGAAGGAAATGGAACTCTCCAGCACTGCTGGTGGGAATGCAAACTGGTACGTTCACTATGGAAAGCTGTTTGGAGGATTCTTAAACTGCTAAAAATGAAGCTTCCATATGATCCAGCAATCACACTCCTAGGTATCTACCCAAAGGATACAAAACATTAATTCTGTGCCCCTGTGCTGCACTATTTACAATAGGGAAGATAGTGTTGTGGAATCTACCAAAATGCCCCAAAGTAGATGACTGGATTAAAAAGATGTACATATACATAATGGAATATTACTCAGCAATCAAAAAAGATAAAACTCATGCCATTTGTGGCAACATGGATGATGGAGCTAAAAGGGATTATGCTTTGTGAAATAAGCCAGAAAGAGAAAAATACTGGATCGTTTCAATCATAGCAGGCATGTAAAGGATTGGGGGTGGGGGGAAGCAATTGTAATAAAATAAAAATGAAAATCAATAAACTGCTGTAAACCAGAAACGCTCTACAGAGGTGGAGAAGGGAATAGGATCAAAACTGGGGTGAGACGAGTACATCCCACTCTGGTGATGGCACATGGGTGAATTGGTGGTGGGAAGTCCATGGGGTTACAACCAAGATAAAAAATGTACAAAATGAAGAATGATTTTTTTTTAATATTAAATAATGTTTATTGGGTAAAAAACATAAACAGAAATGGCAAAACACAGTTGACTCCTCAATTCC